CAAATGTGTACACAGATTGAGAGATTGTAGAATATTTCATTTTTCCAAGGCATTTCAGAGAATTCATACTTCTGAGTTTTATGTTATTTTTCCATGTAGCCTTTGGCCACCCAAATTGCTGTAGTCCTTCCTGGAAATCTTTTGGAAGGTTTGTTTAATGACCTGTACAATATATTGATAAAGCTAGAAATTAATCACCTGTTAAGTATCTTTAGTGCTTTTATGTTTGAAGTTTCATTGTTCTACCTTCCACTTGTTCTTGCTTAAAACTTTTATACTTTTTCAATAAATTTGCATAATAAATTTCAAGTTATATCAAATCCATTAGAGAAATGGGGATACTGGACACATGAAACCACATGAAATGAAATGGATTGCTTCCAAAAGGTTACCTATGTAAATAGTGATGTTTAATATTTATAGGAAATTCTTTGAATATTAAGTTAAGCAGTCTTTGAAATGTCTCTGAGCAGTGGTTATTTTTTTTTAGATTTGTCAGCCAATATTACATGATTTGATGGTTGACATGCAACAGTAATTAACATTGACTATACCTTATAAGATATGCAATAGGGTTTTCAGATTTTGCATTTAACATTTTCGAAAATTAAAATAAGGAATAGATCTCCAACCTAAGCCAGCTGAATTTTCAGACAAGAATGTCAAAATTTCAAGTTCAAAATGTTTCATTTGTACAGCAAAACTAGAAATGCTACCAAACCAAGTCTTATACCTATATAAAAGATAGCAAAGGGCTTACTAGAAGATTACTGGATGAATGTGAACATTGCATTTTTCTGTGGAATAGCAAATGCATATGTGATATTTTAAACTTTGATCCAGAATCTGAAGCACACTAATCTGGAAAGAAGTCTTGCTGGTTCAAATATACTTTCCTGGACATTGGCTTAGGAGTGTAGATATCCATTATTAATCTAAACTGAATTTTGTTTTAAATGTTAGATGGCTGCACGCTCATTTTTTATTCTAACAGGGACACTGTCTTCATGATCACAAGAGAAAGGTAGTTAATCTGTTGCAACGCAGCATTTTCTGACTAAAAAACCCTGCATTTCACAATATAAAACTGCAACTTCATTACAGACATTAATGTTTTATCCAGCTACATGGGAAGTAACCAGGAAGCCTCTAAACCAGGGGAGAGCAGAAGGTACCCTTGTAATAGATCATCAAAGATTCCTGAATACCAGTTATTTAATAATGGTAGCAACAAAAAATTCCTTTCTACCCAACATTGTGGAAATGAAAATAGCACGGGATATGAGGTGGTGACATGTATCAACCTTGAATCTGGATTCTTGTGCATCTTACTCTAAGTCTTCCTAGGAAATTTGCTTTGTCACCAGCCATTTTAGCAATGGACAAACCACCACCCCACATGGCAGGCATTTTGTGAGAACACTGATGAAATTCTTAAATTTTTGTGTGTGTCCGCCGACCCAAAAGGGTTTGGGGATCCTAGGATCAGTGAGCTGGTTTAAGGAAAAAAACGCAAGTCCATACACTTCCATCTTGCTACACTCCAAATACTGCAACTGTGCTTCATTTATTCAATTCAAAATGGGAAAGGGGGAACCGGTTATCTGGATTAAACTTCATTATGTCACAGCATTCCAATGTAGCATTCCTACATTGGGGAAGGCTGACATATTTACACCAACCAGGTCCCTTGTCTTCTCTTTGATAGGAGCCTTAAGGTTGAGCCATCCCTTCTATGTCCAGGAAATCTTTAAGTGTCCCTTGAGGATATAGAGTTGCTTTTGATGCCTACTCTTGGAACTGTCTTCACTTAAAGAAACCACTGCAAGGACATTTTATATTTAACTTTAAGCATTTGTGATAGTGAAACCTCAATCTGATAGCATCTTTAAAAAATAAGACTGCATGTCAAAGACCAATTTGTCTGATGTGCAAAATAGTGGGTGGGACTTGAAGTAGGGACAGTGTGGGAATTGTAGTCCAATACATCTGGTGGGCATCAGGTTGGAAAAGGCTAGAAGAATTTTAGAGAAGAGTAAAATTCTATGAACAGATGCTGACAGAAGGTAACTTCCTATGTAGAACACAAGAGGTAGATACGGTCTCGTTTACGGAGTACTTTAAGTTTTCTCCAAAAATGGATCTTGTTTCCTGGTCAGTTCCCAACAGCAGTTTCCAAAAGATATGGAGAAGTGGGACATGAGAAGAATACCGCCCCCCGAAGCCCATGCAGTGTTGCTGCCAGACTGTTCTTGCTTATTTCTCTACTTTCTGTAATCTAGCATTTCTCAAGCTGGTACCTTCTGGATATTTTGGACTACAGCTGCTACCATCAGCTTCCTGATAACTCACCTTGCCAGCTAAAGTGCTTTGGAATTGAAGTCTGATAGCACACAGAGGGTACTATGTTGGGGACGGCTGTTCTAGCCTTGAACATGGTAGAAGCCATGATAATGATGTGTGAAGCAACCTCCTCTAATCAGGGGAAAATAGTAAGTCTATCTCAGAAAGGGCCATATTGTTAGAACTCCACTCTTAGTGGATAAGACACCGTAATACTATGCAAAGCCAAAAGATTTGAAGTGGCATGTGAGACACCATGCTCAGAAAACACACTTTTCTTCCAAAGCCAGGCTCATCTGTTGATTAGGAGATACATCTTTTGCTCCCAGAAGAGGAAGCAGGGTGGAGGGAAGATACACTCTTGGTTATTTCTGCTTGCTCTTTTGTTCTGCAAGCAACATTAAGTGGAAGAGAATGATACCTCAGGCAGTCAGCAACCTTCTTTTGATGTGCTTTTATGTGGCTATGGGTTTTTTTTGAAAACTGGAGCAGATTGGGAAGGGCTGCCCAGTCCAGTTCCAAACTTTACAAGAGCAGCTGTGTCTTTCATTTCATGCATGCTCTTCCCCTGAGAGAGGCCCTTCTGAGGTCATGCTACAAGCTACTTTCAAGAACTAGCATCAATAAGAGTATAAAGTGAAGTCTCTGGTTCAGCTTGTTAGCAGTGAATGAACTAATTCTTGAGCCTAACATAAGTTGTCCTCAGTCCCATCTTTAACACAAATACAGTTCAAAAAAAGTCCCATTGAACTCAATGGGACATACATCTAAGTAGTCGTATATAGAATTACATTGTTGTGATCAGGGGAAAGAAAATCACAAAACCAATAGAACAAAAACAAAAATCTCAAGTATGAAAATTCATGCTATGAGTATTTAAAATAAAACAAGGCCAGCATCATACTAACCTTTTCTCAACACCAGAATTACCTGCACACAGGTGGTAGAACGTAAGCACTTAAGCACTTCACTTAAGCACAGGGCTTGAGCCAGCAACTACTGCCAGTGAAGCAACATATGTTCATAAAATGCAAATGTGAAAGTTGTTACAAAATGTGTAGGTAGAACATACCAAAGCCCAAGATTCTTAGTGGCCAGAATGTATGTTTCAGCTCATGGCCAAGTGATTAAAAAAAATACTCGCACGTTCAAAATAGTACACAGACAAAAACAAAATGTTTGACACCTATACGGCCAGATGGAAAGCTGCTACTTGCTGCCTGCTACCATATATTGGGCAGAAGTAGGAGGAAGGGCAGGGTGTGCTGCAGAGAAATGGCTGAGTTTGTTATCTTTCATCAATTGATAGAAAAATGTCAGTTCTTCCTTCAGGCAATTCAAATTCTGCACCAAGCAAATAAGAAAATACAATTCCTTTTTACCACTTTGCTTAATCAGTACTGCCAGCCTACACGTGCCTGCTCATAAGTAAGCCCCATAGAATTCAGGCAGTTAAGCAAAGGATTACAGCCTCATTCATGCCTTCCTAGAAGTGCAGAGAATTATGCATAGCCTAAAGCTTCACCCAAGCCTTGGAAATGCTGTTTGGTCATATCTCTGATTTCAGGACATGCTCCAATTCTATCTCACAGCCTGAGTTCTATGAAAACAAGCAGAAGGAACTGGGTATGTTTACTTGAAAGAGACAAAGCGATTTGTGGAAAACCTGAAAAGCTGTGACATAGAAGATTTTGCCTCTGCTGCCCCAGAGGATACAACTAGAACTAATGGGTTAATGTTATAGGAGGGCATGAACATTAGGAGAAATTCTTTGACACTAAGATGAATGGAAGTAATTAGGGGAGAAGCATTCCTCCCTCACTGGAGACAAGACCGAGGCAAGACAGCCATCTGTCGGAGATGTGAGCTTATCTGCACTGAGCAAAGGGCAGGACCAGAGAACCTGCAAGGCTCCCTCCAGCTCTATGCAATTCCAGGGCGCTAAGACTGCCTTGGAATTGTGCCCTCCGAAGGAAACTTCGGAGGCACACAGTAAGATTAGTAGGTGAGCCAGGCCACTGCTGGATGGTGGAAAGCTGGATGTCTAAGAGAGAGCTTCCCCACACTAGCACACTCATCAAAGCCAGCAAGTAGATATTACAATGTCAGCCATTTGGAAGCACACTAATCATGACCTGTGACAAAATTGTGACCTAGTGAAAAGGAGCAGAAGAGGATCAGAAAATGAGGCCACTCTTGAAGTAGCACCTGCATTTCTGGACCATGAAGGACACCTCGGAGTGGAGGGAAGACGTAAGAAACAGTGTCCTTCACAGCAGGAATGCACTGCCTTTTCAGTCTTGAGAGTCCACATGATGCGGGCTCAAGAGCTGTGCACAGGCATTCCTGTCCCAGCAATCCTTGCAGAGATCACTCTTTTGTGCAACGGTGGCAGCGGCAAGAGGAGGGGTTTGTATGAGGGTCTCTGGGGGAGGAAATGGAGATTAGAGGTGGCAGAGAAATCAGTGCCAGATCAAGGCACCTCTGTGGGACTGCAGTAAAGGATGTGGGGAGTGGCATGCATGCACCCTGTCCTGAGAGGAAGAGCATTCCCTGAGGGAAGAGGCAACAACAGTAGCAGCTCTGCTCCCTGGTTCCCCACTGCCACAAACAACCACAAGAGCAGTGAAGAGAGTCAGAAAAAGTTGGATAACAGGTACATCAAAAATGTGGTCATGTTATATTTTGGTCAGTGCGAAACAGACAGGGTGGGGAGGCAGCTGGGGACACAGCAGGTCAATGGGGTAGATCCCACGTGGCTCATCGCAGGAGTGACCACTTGATCTGTTCCTTTGCTGACTGCAGTACCTACAAATAGAAGTTGAAGAGTCAAGATATGTGCAGCCAGCAGGATTAAGTCAACAACTCTTCATAAAACAATTCTCATGCAGTTGCTGGGAAACCATCAGTGGAAAAGGCAAATCTTACAAAAGGGGTTAATAGTCCATGCACACCCAACAAGAAAAGGAAAATCCAAGGCCACACACACCCCGTACTAATGAAATTCAAATTCTGGGCCCTGCATAAAGTCTGCAGACAGTTTTGCTGTTAAGCAGAGCACTAAAGCCTTACCTTGGAGAGGCAGAAACCCTACACAGGATTTCTCTTTGTCCTTATCTCTGCAGTCCTAAGGACTAAAGCTAGCTGGGCTGTTGTTTTTTAAATGAAACTCAAGATTCACAGCACTGTTCAGTTCTTCCTCTGACTCCCAAACCCATGATTGGGTGGTAGCCCTGGAAATAAATTCACTGCTTGCCTCTACGTGTAACGTACAAAGTGCGAGTAGGAAAAAAGGGCAGGAGGGATATAGAAAAGAGTGCACCATGCAGGAGTTTTGAAGAACACCCAACAAGACTCAACCAGATTACATACCTGTGAGACTGTCTGTTCTGTAAGAGGAACATCCTCCCCCTGAAATAGGGAAGAAGATAGTCTGCCGTGGGTAAATACTCATGGCCACTTCTGAAAATAGCTCTCCCCTCCTTAACACTCGGCACATGGATTTATGCATACGCACTTCCCAACAAGTGGTTTTAGGGACAGCCAGAAGTTATTCATCATCAAGGTGGAGCACTATCATCCGCTCTTTTCCCTGCCCTCCCCTCCCTCAGCCCATGCAGTTGCAGTCAGTTGCCTTATGCTGTAAAAACAGGCAAAGTAATGGATCCCTTGTGCCCTTCAACTGGGCCAGGTTAGGAAGGCTGTTCCTACTGGGCAGGCATAAAAGAAAGAAGAGAGGTGGGTTGCACTTACCCGCACTGCAACTCTATGTAGCACTTGCTGGGGATCACTCTCTAGAATCACCCTGTAAAAGATGAAGGGAGAATCACCCACTGCGCTGGGCTGTAAGCCATGGTTGCTCTAGAGGACAGGAGTGATGCAGGGAGACATGAAGAGCAAGACCTGTCAGCAAGAATGCCCATTCTGTACACACACCTGTGCGCGCGTATGTATTAGATTCTACTTAGAGATCAGAGAGTTTGGGCTACAGGTATGACAAGAGATGCTTGTCTAAAAGTTTTCTAGCCTTCAGTCATATATGGTAGTGGCTGGACTCACCCTCCATCTACAATTTCATCCACTGCCAGGAAAAGACCCTCCATGTTCTCCAGCAGGGTTCGCTTCTCCACATTCTTCCTGCAGAAAAAAACAGGCAAATACTACTCAGGAAGGAGCTGGGGACCAATGCATAATCTTGGCACCCAGAGTCTAGGTCATCCTTGGAGCCCAAAACATGGCTGCAGACATTCTTTACTAGGCACACCCTACATTTTGAATCTTCACTGCACAACAAGGAAGACTAGCAAATGGCCAATCATCTCAGGGCGCTAAATTTTGAACGGAATACCAGTGCTTCCACATGAAACTATGGAATACACAGCACATACAGAACCCACAGAAAAGACCAGACTTTAAATATGGTGCGTATACTGTGCGCACACAAACACACACAGTAAAAAGAATTCTGTAACTTGCTTCAAAAAGCCATATTGGACAACCAACAAAATTGGGCAAATATGCATTTATTCATCTACTGATTGCTGTACTATTCTTTATTTCTGCTGTCCATGGGAGTGGAAGAGAGAAGCAGTCAGTGTCCTGGAAGACCTCTCCCCTTCACTAGTGAAAATCTCACTCAGTGACTGGGTTTACACAATTGGTAAAGAAATGGTTGCTTCCTTTCTCTGCCCTACATGTGCCAGTTGCTCACTACCTTGTCCCCATACTCACCTGTGCCAGGAACAGGTTGCTTTGATGAGGGTGAGCAGTGGGAGTGGCCTCCAAGCCACCCTGAACAAGTCATGGGTTGCAGGGTGGTTTGCAACCCCACTGAGGGTTGGACAACTTGTGCTCGTGGAAAGGAGGTGTGACCAAAACGCTTGGGGTGGAGAAAAGAAACTACCATAGTTTGTCCTTCCCTGATCACGCAAGGAAGTCAGATTTAGCCTGTCAAGTCCACCTCTAGCTTCTGTCTGGTGCCATCCCTCTCCTTTCATTTTAAAGAAAAGCTAAGAACCTCTTGAGGCCAAACTCTGTGCTTCTGCCTTGCCATGGAAAACCTAGCATGAATAATAGTTACGTTTATTACTCAGCACGGCAGTCTTCACACCAACTTCAACAGGTGGTACAGGCTGCAAAACACTGGCTTGCAACAGCAGTTCAGCTAGCATGGATTGTAGCCTAATCCTGCATATCTTTCACCATGAATCTTTTTCTCCATTCACATATGGCTGTTACCCTTCCACCAGACTCACCCCCTCACCCCAGCAAAAGGAGAGTAGTGGTAAGTTTTTTCTCTTATCCTGGCTGGTATCTCTCACCCAAACTCCCATGACTGGCTTGCTTAACCTATTTTCTAGTGATGGAATTGGAGGGATATTGAAAATGGGATAGACTTGCAATGATTTGACTACCTTGCCCATATTGAGTCTTAGCACACCCTGGAATCAGGGGTGGGGGTTGTATGTGTGCCAATGAAGAGAGCTGCAATGAACCAGGGCTTGAGGATTATAACCTAGAAAGTGAAAAATTCACAAGACTGGTTCACCACACTTAAATCCACTAATAAAACCAATTCGCTTGGATTTCAAATGATTTTTGTAAAAAATCAACATGTTCTCGGTGTACATAACCCCAAACCTTCAAGTCATAAAACCCTCTTTATTTTGTTCCCAAATGTCACCATGCCTAAGTTATAGATTCAGACATGACCAGAAAAAGAGGTACTTACCTCAACATCTGACTGAGTGAGTCAAAGAGACAGTTCAGCACAGCCATCAGCATCAGCTGCAAAGGAATCACGCACACATATAATCAATGCACACATACACAAAACTGGCCTGAGGCAATGCCAGCTCCGCAGCATTTGGGGCGTATAGCTAGAAGGGCACTAGTTTGGCATTGGTTACCAGGCCCCAGAGGACAGCATATAAATCAGGCTCTGTTTGCTGTTGCCCCTAAGAGTCTGTTGGAGCTACCATTTCTTCTTTTTGAGGGACAGAGCAGGTGAGCTGTCCAGGAGCCATGTTTGCCACTTTGCCGGGCTCTCACACCAATCAAAGCCTATGAATAACATAGCCTTCACACAGAAGACAAGGCAGCTGAAGTCATGCATGCTTGACTGAGAAAGTTTATTTGTCATGTTGGGACTACTCACCTCATTTTCATAGGAGCTGCCAATGACATAGAAATACAGGTCAATGCTGCTCTTGTAAACAACTGTCAGCCCCTCCAGGAGTGCAATCTCACCTGAGTAGGAAAAGAGGACAAAATAAAGTGAAAAGTGAGCAGGAAAAGCACATGAAGACATTCCCAGTCCTGCAGAAGGGGAATGCGCCAATATAGTCATGTTTCCCCATCAATAGAGGCTTACCAATATTGGGTTCCCTGGAAATATCACACACCCTAGGATGAGTTCGAACTGCTGGGGAAAAGGCCTCCTCATGAAAAGAAAAAACCACCACTTGCCTACATTGGGACAGCACCACGGTGTGGAAACCGCCCCTGTATCTGACAGCATCATATGCCCACGTTGAAGTGACGAGTACACAAATGACCTACATGCTACAACATGAAATCAACCCATGAAATTGCATGACCTCATCAACAAGAATGTAAATAAAGCAGTTGCTTTCAGAGAAGACTTGAATGTCAGGAGCCTAAAGGGAGGTAGACCCTGGGAGCAAGGCTATGCCCCCAATACAATCCAACCCGTGGTGAATCCAGCCCCCCCACTTTAAAATAATTCCACACCTACAATTTAAAATATTTATTTATACCACCCAACAGCCAAGGTTCATCTTTATACCATTTTCATCTTAGGATACCAGGGCAGTTTAAGTGCATGCTCAATCTCCCTCACCCGCTATCACCACAACAGAACTAGGTGGATGCATAAGGAGCATATCACATAATTTGTACTTTCAAAGTCATTTGCTCAGAAAGGCTAACCTAAGAAGACTGCCTGCTACATCAGGGAAGGCCTATCTAATCCAGTATCCTGTTTCCCCCCAGTGGCCAATCAAATGTTTCCAAGAAGTTCTCAAAGTAGAACGTGAGCACAACACCACCTTCAGATATACTGAGGTGTACTGCCCCAAATACTGGAGATAATATATAGCCACTGTGACTAGTAGTCATTGATAGCCTTATCCTCCATGCATTTCATCTGCCTAATTCCCCTTCAAGACAATCTAAGCTAGCAGTTGTCACCACATCTTGGGGAAATGAATTACATTGTTTAATTACACATTGTGTGAAGAAACACGTCCATCTGTCCTGGATCTTCTGCCATTCGGCTTTCTGGCATCACACACCCATACAAAGATTCTAGCATTATTAGAGAGGAAGAACAACTTTTCCTATCCATTTTCTCCACACAATGCACAATTTCATATACCTCAGTCATGCCCCCCTCCCCTTACTCATATTCTCAATAATAAGAGGGCCATTGGTGATGTGGCCTCCTCCAGAGATTCCCAAAAGGACCTCAATAGAAATCAATTAACATTCTCTGTGTTGCCATTCCAGAGGCCCTCCTCCCATCATGCTCCCAGGCAGAACCTACTATCTGTCCGGTGTGTCTTGTTGAAAATATTCTTCTCAAAGGTCTTCTGCTCCTTGACTGTGGGGTAGGTGTCATCATAATACTGTAGGGAAAAAGAAGAGGCTCCATGCATGAGAGTTACAGCTGGAAATGACTTGCTTTCTCAAGTGAGCTTCACAAGTGTAAAGATGTGATGATTATTTGAAAGATAAATTGATCACACACTTCTTCACTTCAGTCAGGGGTGTGGATCCTGTGGCTTTCCAGATATTGCTGAACTTTAGCTCCCCACCCCTAATCACTGGCCATAGTTGATAGAAGTTGGAGGTCAACATATTCCTGAAGGGCACAGTCACCCAGCCAGTCCCTGATTTTGATGTAGAACTTGTTATACTTAATTAAGGTAAGGTAAAAGTAACAACATTCCTTTCTCATCCAATAAACTTCATTGAAAGCTTACAATGTGGCAGGGACAAGAGTTCTACATGAAGACTCAGCTCAGCTGGGATTCAAACCTAGTTACCATATAATCTGCAGTGAATTATACCAGTTTAGCTATGATATGAGTATGACGTACTGGATGAGCAACTGCTAGCAAGAATCAGGATAGGGCTCAAGTTGGCACCATGGCACAAGCAGGCAGGGCAATGTCAAACTCAGAAAGCAGCAACCCAGCTGGCTGCCCACAAGAGCATCTGAAAGACCACACCACCAGGTTGCTTGGGCAGTCTGAGGCCCTGTAAATGCTCTGGCCTAAGACTACTGTGATCCCTCAGCATTGGACATGGACTGATAGGAGATGTAGGCCAAAATACCTAAAGAGTCACATGTTGTCCACACCCTACTACTTTTTCTGGCATCTACAAAAGCTTACCTTGGCAAACATTCGGTCTCCATCGTTGTCCAAAATCAGGATGGCTTTTACTGTATAGAGTGATGGCTCCTGCAAAGGAAGGCACAACATCATGGTTTCACCCAACTAATGCCACTTGCAGCCTGAGCATTATGGGCATCCCACCCAATAGTGGGAACAAAGAGATGGATAGTGTCATAAAACAGAGTTGTACATATGCTAAGCCAAAATATCATCTGAATTCTGCACCAAAAATTGATCCAGTTTTTGCAATGGGAGTAAGTAATACAAATTATGCAACTCAGTATATATTTGTGTCTTTTCCATTCTATTAGGCATAGGGAAGAGCAATGAAAATCTGCCTACTGAGTACTGTATGTCCTACTCTGGCTTCCAATCTTTTCTATTGCTACCTGCGTGGTTTTAACTGTATCTCCAAAGTCATGAGAACTAGAACCTTGTCTTTCTTTTCCCTTTTATGAAAATGTAAGATTCTCAAGATGCTGTAGAATATGCCAAATATCGATTATATGCCATTTTTCCCTGGTACAATTTCAATATGCCCTGCATATGAAATAATTTGAAGGAGCAGTAGAGGCCATGCATAACAATGGGCTACCTCTATACTAGTCATTCCAAGCCTGCACAGTCATGACCGGCTAAGCATAGCATAATGCACCTGCTATGTATGAGAGCCCACCACCAAGCATGTGACTGGAAGAGAAATGGGGTTCAGATTGTCAAACACCAGGCAGATGGATGGCTGCTGGACCAAGTTCAAGTTGGTGAACTGGTCTGTACAGGCCTGAGTTCTTTGCAGGCCTGAGTTCTTTTATGCCACCTGCAGCATTACTTTAGTTAGAGTTTGCCTAAATGGAGCCAACAATTTGCAGGTCAGGCCTGCCACTGGCCACTTCAAACCAATGAAAGCCAGTGTTTTACTGTAGGGAAATCTTCCTTGTTTCTTCTGAATTTTTACAGAAGATCCTTTTCACATCAACTAGGCCCCTCTCACTCACATGTGCTTTCAGCAGCATCAGAGTTCCTTCCCCATGGCATAATTCCACACTGTAACCACCTGAATCAAACTGATCTTGTAGGTCTTTTCTACCCAAACAACACCCTTCTATCTAGTTGGGTGATGAATACATGGGAAGGATTGATGTAATTGGCACCACACATGTTGTTCACAAATGTGCACACTACAGTGGAAGCAGCACCCTTGGTACTGGGAGCACATGTAAAGTTCCCCATTCTCCCACTGAGTCCAATATGGGGGAGAAAGGAAGTCACATTTCAAATCCCTCCATAGCAAAACCTGCTTCTAGGCCAACTGTTTGTGGCTGGGGCTGTATCAGCACCGTCATGACAGGACTCAAATTCTCCTGCATTAGAATGTGCTTGTTTCAAATAAGATCTAAGAAGCACTGGATGACTCTAGTGGTAGCACGTCTAGCAATGTGTAAGACATAAAAGAACTGAGAAAAAGGAACGTTTATGGCATGTCACACCTGTGCAATTCCAGTGGGACAGGTGAGCTGAATGACTGAAAAAGAACAGATTACCCTGAGAAGTGGCTGTTGCCAGCATGCCACCAATCCAGATCATCCCAAGTACAACCTTCCTATACAACAAAGAAAAATTCCACAAGACATACTTGTACAGTGATTGCACTATTATGCATCAGCACTGTCAGAGAGGCTCTGCTTGTCTGTTAGAGAAGCTCTTGCACCTAAGCTCTAGGCTGGCCATGTTAACCTCCTGGAAAAGCTCCATTCTATGTCCCTAACATAGATCAATACAACTTCCACCTTGGCACTTCTAGTTCTTCACCACCAGGGGGAGCCCCAGGATCATGGTGGCTGAACAACAAGCTTGCAGAAAACAGTATCAGAAGATCTAAAGCCACAGGTTTTAAGGAGTACAGTATTAAACACACAGCACACTACAATTTTGCACTTGTCATTCTCTAAACCATCCTTCAATTGATGGTTGAGATCCACACATCAATTGCACTAATGGTAGCATTATTGTTCTCATACACTTAAAAGACAGGCAGACAGATAGCCAAGGACAGAGTGGCAAGAAGTAAAGGAAGGCAGGACTGCTCTAACTTTAAATACTTGCAAAAGAAAAAGAATCAGTTCAGCCCTGCATGGTAAGCTGCATTTGTAAGGATTCCACACTTCTGTACCCCTATTAAACATCCAAGGAAACTGTCCTCCTTTGCAACTAGGCACGCTTAGCCAGACAGATGGGTATGGTTCAAAAAACAAAAACAAGAGTGAGTCCTATTTTGGAGATGCATCCTGCATCATGAAATACTAAAAGCTACTGCAGCACATGATGTAAGTAACAGCTTGCCACGGCAATGATTAGTTATAGCTTCCACCACTAGGCCACCATGCAGCATATATCTGACTCTCTCAATGCCTGAAAGAGATAAGGATGTGAACGCAAGGGCAAACTTTCAGAAGCACACGCTACTTCCCTGCCATGCCTGTGGCTCAAGGAGATGATATGTTCAGTGCATCAGTATGCTTCAAAAGAGAGGGCCATAGCTCCTTGCCTGCAGAATGAGTCAGCTTCAGTCACCGGCATCTCTAAGGTGGGTCAGGAAAGACACCTATCTACAATTCTAGACAGCCACTGCCAGTCAGTGTAGGCAACACTGAGCTTTAATCATGATTTGTTAGGCAGCCAACAGCCTCATGGGGCAAGAGAAAGGAAAGACAAGAAGAGACACACCTCTTCCCTGCTGGATGCTGGAAAGCTCTCGAGACAAAGTTCTGTGATGCACTGACTTCCATGTAGCCACAGTCAGAGTGTATAACAGAACTTCACCTCAAGCGCTGCAACAGCCCCTCTGTGGGAGCAGCAGCAGGCTCATCTATGGAGCAGGTTAGCATGCAGATCCACTACTCCACAGAGATGCTCAGCCTGATTCCGATCCCAAGCACCTTTCCCACTGAACTAGAGCAAGTCTGAGGAGGCGGTGCAGAGCATGGCTTTTCTTCCATTTTCAGAAACTAGTGCGCCCAGGTGAAAGCCTCTCTGTTCTTCTCAGGATCGGTCCCTGGAAGCTCTTACAGTCCACAGATTGGCAATCACATTTCCTAACCTACCAAGAGTAGATCTTTCTCCTCCCTGAAAAGGGTACCCTTTTTTTTAGAGCAACCTACCTGCATTTCATGGAACACCCAAATGAGTCAGAATTATTACTGACCACTGAGACCGCCAGCAATTCTGGGCCAGCAACCTGATAGGGCAGCCAGTCACAGGTTTACTAGAGAAGCGTTCGGATCCTAGAACTATTATACATTGGAAATACTCAACACTATTGTAGTGTTTTTCACAGCATGCTGAAAGGGTCCTCTGATAAGAAGATCAGTAAATCTGGATAGAGCGCTCTCACCAATTCAACAAGAATGGTTCTTCTGGACCTGTGTGGCTCATCCATTCTCCAGTGGAGGAACAACAAGGTAAACAAATTTAGATTCTCCTTCTGTTTTCACCCTCATTCATACACAGACACATAAATTTGCTTGGCAAACTTAGTAGGCAGGCAGATGTGCACTGGGAATTTTAGCTCCCCTCCTATTAATATTTCACCTGCCACCTGAGCAATGCCTGAAAACCACTGTTTTAAAATCCTTTTTTGTCCAGGCTCTCCACTGAAGCCCTGTGAAACTGCAGGCACAATAGTGAGATGCCCCAAAGCTAGCCAGCCAATGATCCATACAAATGGCATCAGAGGAAAATTTGGGCTCTAACCTGGACCAAGCAAAGCCACAGATGTGGGGCAAAGCATAGCATCTCCTCCTACCTTACTATCAGAGAATTAGAAAAAAACGCTTACCATATAAGCATCAGAGGAGAATTTATATATCTCTTTGCCAGAGAGACAAGCTTCCACCAGAGAGACAGCAAATAAACACACATTTTAAATCTATAATGAGCGCTGACTAGAAGGCCAGAAGCAGCATAAATTTCTCTCTGGAGGCTTCCAGTTCAAGCCAAGGGCTGCCTCAAGCAATCAACCATTAAAACAAGACGTTAAGAGTTACTGCACAGTTTATTCTGATCATTTAATTCTGAAGTTTCAATAAATTAAACTTCAATCAATTAAACTAGGTGTGCAACAGCCCAGATGGTCAGTGCGATAGCAGCAGCATTGCCATAAAGATTTTACAGCTGCCAGGACCCCGCGGAAGGGGAGCATTTGGTGAGGGAGACGAGGTGGCAAGAATTATGTCTGTGCTTGTTTTATTTGCAAATGGCAATCGGAAAGCCACACAGAGGAGGCAAGGCCATTCCAGTTGCGCTGCCTGGGGCCACTTCAACTCACACGTAAGACAAGCCTTCCCTAGGAAGGAGGGAAAGAAGGCACAGTGCTAGGACACCATGGCTCCCAAATCATACTATTCTGCCTAAATAAACAGCCTGGGAAAAGTGCCCTGTGTTCTGCAGCAAAAGGACAATCCTGCATTCTCACCAGCACAGCCATGCTTTAGAATGTGAGACACTCAGAACCCAAATCCTCTCCATTGACTTTGCTATCATTGTATTATTAAGGCAATTGACTAATCTACATTGATTGCACAGCTGAATAATAAACTCTGTCTGGCCATTCACTCATCTACCTCTACTATCCTCAACTATCCAAAGTTCTCCTTTGACTCTCCCTTTACAGTTCTTTAACCATGGAGCTGCTTCCCAGAACACATTTCCTCTTATTCCTCCCATAAATCCTTCCTCAAAGTCCAACATTTCTGTGAATTACAGACTCTTATCTCATATCATGTATCCAAATATATGTAACTGAGCTGAATACATATTCCATTCATTTACTTTCAGCTCCATCTCCCTTCCCTGTTCTGTTGCCTCTCCAGAGTCAAATTTTAGGCAGTAAACTCCTTGGGTAGGTGTTTTCTTGTTCTCTTGGGTGAACTTGCATGCACATTAATAGTGCCAAAGGGAAATTATGATTTCATTATTATTTAAGATTATCTTAAACCCACCTTTCATGTCACACTGTCCTCACAAACTAGCATACAATGCTACAAAAACATGAACATGCAATTACAATT